TAGATAGAAGAAGGGGCACATCCTCCACTGTAACAAGACAGGAGGATAGTAAGGGTTCAGTGTGTGTTGTTTTGTGCATTTACTATTAGGGAAACTGTTGGTGTGTGGGAATTCTCATCTGGTAGTCTCTATCTTCTCTTTAAACTAAGAGGCAACTTCATATGCTAAACACCAGAAGGAACGAGACTGTTTCAGAGATTTGAAGGAAGAGGAGACAGTTTCGTTTGTTATTGTGGAATGGATTGAACAACAAAAGAAGATGTCAGGCAGTATTAGTGGCCCATTTGAGTTTTAATCTCAACAATTTCACAGTAATGTAAGTGCTATTTTTGCTCCATGGAAAAATTTACATGGAGGCATGGAGGAGGAAGTAATTAACTGGCGTAGAAGGGAAGAGAGACCAGGCAGGTATAAAAAAGGAGGAAGAAACTCTGCTGATCTGACCTTGAGGAATGAGTAGGATTTTCCTGGTATGTAGAAGGTAGGGGTGGGAATATCTTGCTTAGTGTATAGAGAAATGGAGACAGGAAGGGAAAAGGTCTATTATTTAGTTCTCATTGTGGCTATAAAAAGCTTAAATTATTGCTTTGAGAGAGAAGAGAAGAGGTAGTAGCTATTCCAGAAACTCAGAGGAGGGAAAAATCACTGAAAGTTGTGATAGATAGAAAGGCTTCTGACGACAGAGGCTGGACTTCAAAGGAAGAAGGGCTTGAGTGGAAGGGTGGTGGGAAGACAGGCTTATACAAAATTTCTATATCCATGTTATCTTCCTGCCCATGTAAGCATTTGAAATTACTAATCATATTACAGAGGCTGCCATATTTATATCTCAGCCTTATATTTTGCCAGGGACTTTCTTGCTCTTGTTTATAGAAGAATCTCAGAGATTCTACTCATCCAGAAAATATGTATGGAATGCAAAGTGGGTAAATACTGTAAGCCTCCAATATCAGAGGTGGCACGAGGTGCTGAGTAGTATGGCTAATCCTGGCTCCACAGGAGAGTTTAAAGGCGGAAATGAGCACTGTGGCTGGAGGCGCGTGAGAGGGCTGCAGTCAGCTGTGGTCTCAGCCTGTAGGAGACAAATCTCTCTCCAGGGTTTCATTACAAACCCAAATATTCAATTTTATGAACTCCACAACAAAACTCCTATATGTACACCTTAAATGTATGTGATGGATAAGATACCCTCATCCAGGATCACTCACTGAATAATATTTAAGGATTTCCCAGAATATGAGAAACACACCACTCTGTGGTTTTTCTATTTCACTGGTTTGCAGTTTCATAAAGGTAATCTGAACCCTTTTTAAAAATTATTTTTTGGTATAATATTCAATTAGTAATTTAAGAGACTATCCTTTATTCTGAGATCATGAACTTCCTACCTTTTTTGTTGTTAAAATGTCCTTATTTTATGAAATTATGGTGATTAGGTCATGGTAGGTTTTTGAGATTTCATTTTCTATATTTTTTTAACATCTTTATTGGAGTATAATTGCTTTACAATGGTATGTTAGTTTCTGCTGTATAACAAAGTGAGTCAACTATACGTATACATATATCCCCATGTCCCCTCCCTCTTGCGTCTCCCTCCCACCCTCCCTATCCCACCCCTCTAGGTGGTCACAAACCACCAAGCTGATTTCCCTGTGCTATGCGGCTGCTTCCCACTAGCTAGCTATTTTACATTTGGTAGTGTATATATGTCCATGCCACTCTCTCACTTCGTTCCAGCTTCCCCTTCCCCCTCCCTGTGTCCTCAAGTCCATTCTCTACGTCTGCATCTTTATTCTTGTCCTGCCCCTATGTTCTTCAGAACCATTTTTTTTTTAGATTCCATATATATGTGTTCCATATAAATATCTGAACCCTTTAAAAAAGTTTTTTTGGTATAATATTCAATTAGTAATTTAAAAGACTATCCTTTATTCTGAGATCATGAACTTCCTAGCTTTTTTGTTGTTAAAATGTCCTTATTTTATGAAATGATGGTGATTAGGTCATGGTAGGTTTTTGAGATTTCATTTTCTTGTTTTTAACGTTCATGCTTGCCAGGAATTAGTTTTCATGTTATTGGATTTCTGAACTTTGGAAGTCTGGGGAACTCCAGTTGTGACCACGTTACAGAATGCTGCATATTGCTCCCCATGGGATGAAAGTCAAGGCTATTTAAGACTGTAGTCAGCACACACCAAAGTGAGGGTGTGTGTGTGAGCACCCTGCATCTGGCTGTGTCTCAGCTCTCTGAGTCAAGTACTTGTGACTTGGATTCAAGACCATCCAGATTAATAAAATATGGTCAGAAGCAAGTCCAGTGCTGGCAGGAGTCATAAGTCCTTCCCTGGGAGAGGGCTGAGTGCCAGATGTAAAGGCAAGCATGCGTTTACCTCCTCCAGTGCAGAAACAAAACAATAACAGCCACCTACGAGCACTCAGCATCAGTAGCTCTGCCAGCCACATTACATCTTACTTTTCCATCCTCAGGAGATCAGTGGTACGATTTTTATCAGAGTAACTAGCTCCTTCCTCACATGAGCATAGACACTACTTCGGGCTTTTCTTAATTGAGATGGCAGGAGTCCTGGGCACTGACCCAGTGGGGCTCCTCTGTAAGATCTGAGGCAGAGATCTTACTTTCCTCCATTGCTGGTCACTTGGTCTTTAAAACCGATGGGGAAAAATTGGCAATCTCTACTTGCATTCAGAGATGAAGCCACATTGTCAGGATACAGATAACAAAGTCAGCTCAGAACAGTCTTGCTGAAATTGATGGATAATAAGAAATCTTTCATTTTACCAGGATTGAAGGAATCTGATTCTCATCACTACAGAATTACTCTTGTGTCGCTCTAACTCAGTAGCTGGATTCTAACATAGGGTTAGTGAGGATGGGACGGGCCCTTCACTGTTGATTGGAGAGGTGAGCAAGTGTATAAAAATGGGCCACCCCTTGATTACATGGGCTGCCGTCTCTACATGGCTCATGGTCTTGCTTTCACCCTTCTTCCTTTAATGTCTTTTCATCACAGCCTTAACAACTCTCACATCAACACATCAACATACCACCTTTAGAAACATTCCTGAAGGCTATGCTGAGAAAGAGCCTTGTTACACTTCTGGAATGGACCCATGTTTTCCTAGTTTTCTTTCAAACATCTGGTTTTATAACAATTCTGGTTTAATCTATAATCTTTAAAAATTCTTCTTTCCTGAAGAAATAGGAAGTCAGCCTTTCCTTGTTTCAGGATTTTCTTTGGCCTGGAAATGTCTATAAGATAATAAACACATTCACTGTTATTTAGTCATCATCAACTAGTTAATTAGTGGTTACCTATAACTATCACTAACGTTTATTTGGCATTTACTGTGGATTAAACATTGTGCTGAGCCTGTCCTCATGCATATCATCAGTTGGCATATGGATCACGTACCTAAAATGTGACGTAACATGAAAGGTAGTATGGACAAAGTAAGTCTTGTAGACAATGCAGTGTAGGGACTATGGAGTTAGACACACTGGGTTTGAATTTTGATTCACTCACTTATTAACTTGGCAAGTTTAATCTCTCCTAGCCTGATTTTTTTAATGTAAGCTAAGGAAAGTAAGACGCATATTGGAGGGTGGCAGTGAGAATCTAAGAGCATTTATGGAGATCTTAGAGATAGTAAGGCTCAAAAGCCTGGGATCTCTAAATACCATCACAGATGAGACCAGAAGAAGTGGTGTAGGAGGGGTTCACTGAGCAGGAGGGGTAAAGAAACAGAGAAGTTGTAGGAAGCCAGCCTTTGAGTGAAGAATGATATTTCTATGAGAGTAGAAGAGGAGGAAAGGCACACGGATTAGAGGATGTACCGGACCAGAGAGGGGGGAAATTTATTGCTTGTTGAGAGCCAAATATGAGTCAGGTACTGGGCAAAGTACTTTGTGCATATTATCTTTAATCTTCTCTGCAAGTCAACAACAGGGAAAATAAGTGCTCCATTTTTTCAGGTGAGAAGTTGAATCTGAGGAACTTCAAATATGTTTCTTAAGATGACACAGGTGGTAAAAGGTAGCTCCTGGATTGCAACCCATTCTCTCAGGTTCCTAAGTGCTCCACTGAAGCAGGGCAATGCCGTGATCATTAACTTGCACTGTGGAGCCCCACTTTTGCGGCACATTCAGCTCATTCTAGTTTTAGTCCTAAGAGTGGAGGTGCGGGCGTGCTGTTGTGGTGGTGGTGTAGGGTTGGGACTGAGCTTGTCCTGAAGCGATTCCAACCGAATATTCTTCTAGCCATTGTCCCTCTGCAGAGGAAGGCGAGGGAGCAAGCAGTGCACTGCCCTCCCACCCTGCAGGGCCCTGCCTGTTCCGGGGCTGGGGGCTTGCCCATTCTTACTCCACAGCGCTGTGGAGTCTGTAGGCAAATCTGAAGGAGAGAGTGAGCCTCCGTGCCTTTCACTCATGCCTTCATTTGCCTTAGATCCCATAACAGAAAATGGTGGGCTCCGTATGGAAACAAATGAGATCTGACCAGAAATTTAAGATTTCTGTCAATGGAGAAAAGAAGCAAATATTTATCTCACGTTGTGCGCTACATGAAATTCACATATGACATACGTGGTCTCATTGAATCCTCACGAGAAGCTTGGGAGGTGCACATTATCATTGTTGGTATGATATCAAACAGCTTTCTCCAGGTCACGCAGACAACAAATTTCAGAACTGGGCCTCATACTTAGGATGATGTAAGAGCAAATATTGAATTGGCACAAAAATATGAGGATTTAAATGAAAATGCGTATGTGCTGAGAAACTATAAATAATGCAGATGAGTTACAATAAATTGTAGTCCTCATTTTCTACCCGCGGATTGATGCTGTTTATTTCATTCTGTGGTGTTCCTGCAGTAGAAAAAAGATATCACAAAGGATTTTTTCAAATAAATCTTCATCTTTTCATCTCAAAAAATAGAACTTCTGGTGATGTTTTGTATATCGGGTTTGGCTTCTTTTAGCAGTGCAAATGGTGTCTGTTGATCAATGGCAAACTATACCTGTGAATGAGCTGTGCCCTATAAAGGCTCCAACACTCTTTGGAAAAGAAGAGATAGAAACCATTCTGTCTTCTGAGTCTAAGAAAACATGGGATGCATCTGAGGCTTAAGGATGTAAAGATGATCCACATCTTCCATGTACCCTTAGCTGCCTAATAGAGCTGTTCAAAATGTAAGTGTTTAAAATATATATATATTTAAAATATTTATATATAAAAATATATAAATATAAATATATATCAATGCTACTAGCATATTTGATGTTGCCTATAATCTACTTTGAAATACTTCATGATTGACGTTGTGATATATATAATGTGATATATATAATAGTTAGTTTCAATCTGCTCCCTGGTGTGGTTAGTACCCCTTGTTGGGAATGCATATTTCACGGTATATTAGTTTCCTAAGACTATTGTAACAAATTGCCACACACAGGCTTAAAACAGCAGAAAATTATTCTCTTACAGTCCCGGAAGCTAGAAGACCAAAACTGAGGTGTCAGCAAGGCTGATTCCTTCTGGAGGCTCTGAGAGAGAATATACTCCATTCCTCCCTACTGGCTTCTAGTGGTTGCCCACAATCCTTGATATTGTTTGGCTTCTAGATGCATCAGTCTAGTCTCTGCCTCAGTCTTCACAAAGTGTTCTTGTCTCTGTATGTGGTTGTCTCCAAATTTCCCTCTTCTTATAAGGGTACCAGTCCTTATAAGTTGGCTCTAATCCAATATGACCCCATCTTAACTTGATTATATCTGCAAAGATCCTATTTCCAAATAAAGTCACATTCACAAATTTCTGGTGGACATGAATTTTGAAGGGACACTCTTCAACCCAGTACATGGTTAATCAGTTAGCATGTAATTAGAAGATTCTGCTCCACGGTTAGCTATCGTAAGAAATTCAGCTGCCCAACGAATGTCAGTTTGTAAAGTGGCATAGCAAACATTAGAAATAGGTTTCCATTCATGAAATTAGTGGTCTTTGGATATGTGGACTGGCTAGAAATATTAAAGAAACAATCCTCATTCTTGCATGGATGAGACATAAAAATGTAGAGAGCCATGTAGTCTGTGCCCTCCAGCATGGCACCAAGGCTTATCTCTGACAGCCTCCAGTTAGCTTGCTGATTCAGAGTGCTTATTTGCCTGAATTTAGCTAAATCCTGCCTCTAAAACACTGTTGCATTTGTTTTAGGGAACTTTTCTTACAGGATGTGGGCCAAGCACCTAAAAGCTTAGAAAGCTGGAACTATATAATGCTTATAGTACCGGTTGTATGATTCTTTTTGTGACTGCTTGATGATTAATGTTTGTATAGCAGAATTCAGCTTGAGACTTGCTATCATACATGGTAGCAAGGTTGAAGGAAGGAGACCAAGAACACTCACGTACCTGTTACTATAGGACATACCTCCCCAAAAGAACCTCATAGTTATGAACAGCAAAATTGGCTTAGGTTAATTCACAGCTCGTATCCACCAACATTTTTCTATAATTGCAGATCCTCTAGTCGCTTTTGGACTGCCATTCTTACCCTCTTTTTCAAAAATTTTTTTTAAGTATGTAGATTTACAATACTAGTTTCAAGTGGACATTTAATTCTTATTAAACAATATAACCCAGTGTTTAGATAATTATGCCAATATTAGAAACACTCTATTATTGAAGATTTTCAATAAGAAAATAGATTTGGCAAAACTTGAACTCTTCACCTGGGATTTTCCCATATCCCTTGCCATGCCCAACAGTGGCAAATTGGCTCCCATGTCTCTGGCTGACTCAGTGTCTCTGGAATTCCCTCCTTCATGCATTCCATGGGAGCCTCTGGTGTTTAGTACGTGGTGCCAGGCATCTGTTGTTTTGGCTTGAGTTTAATCTGAATCTTTGTTGTTTGACTGGGTTTTGTATTTCTGAGGGAATTTTTTTTTTTTTTTAATCATAAATCACCAGCTCTGCTAAGCAGCATGTGAGGCTGTTGGGAGTGAGAGTTTAATGTATTGTTACTACTGGAAATAAAACTTGAAAAATTCTTCAAAAGTGCACGTCATCTGGATTTTTCAGAAGTAATTCTTTTGGAAAAGAAAAGATCTGCTGTATGGTCTCCTCATGCTATTTTTCTTTCATGCATTTCAACAAATAAGCAAACATGCAAACAAAGTAATGGTACCATGGCGTTTCTCCTTGGTTGAGGTCCAGACCGTTGACCCCCACTGATCTGTGCTTCAGTGAAGAAGCTGTGACAGTGGCAGGCAGGAGTCCTGAAATAAATGAAACAGTTGAGTGGACCGTGGGAATAAACGACTTGCCCATGTGGATCTCTGCTTTTCTTTCTACCCAATCTCTTTGTCCTCATTCATCCTAATGAAAGGATGCTGGAGGAGAGAACTACAGGGATGGAAAACCCCTGAGAGAAGACAGTACTAAATACAAAGCCAAAATGTGAAACTGGTTCTGAAAAGTGATAGTTGCTTGTTTGTGCTGCATAAATTCTGAGTACATCTGTGAATATGCTATTGTGTATCAGGCTCCCCAAGAGTAAATATGCCCAGACTCAGGGATTATGTCACCTGATCAATACCAGTGATAAACCAATCAGCACCATGCTTATGGGGGGTGGGGGTGGGGATGGGTGCGGGGAAATGTGGACCCAAGTAACCGTGGTGATAGCGAAGGTTGTTTTAAGGATTGACGCTGTCAGGTTAATCTACCTGTCAGTTTTAGGTAGCTGATAATATTTTAAAGGAGTTTTTTCAAGTTGAACATAATTCTCATATTTCACAGGCCACGCCTTTGGAACAGGTACCTGATTTCTTATACATAGCAGCTTCTTTCTCTGTCCCTCCCGTAAGAAGACTAATCGTTAACTGTTGAACACTTGGTTCCTGGGTGACGGTATATTGTAAAATCTAAGGCAGTAAATGCATGCCATCCTTTATTCCCTTCCGAAGATTTTTTTGGTGATTTGGTACGTTGGTGATTTGGTACTTGCTTAGTTCCTTAGTAAACATTGAATAAGAACCTACAGGGCAATAAATATGAAAGTAAATAAATGTGTGGGGAAAAGAAAAATGAACAGAGATTAAGAGAGCTGCCACTGATGTTTATTGACTGCCTTCTGTAGCCCAGCACTCACTTTTTTTTAATATATATAACTTTTTTAAAAAACTAATTAATTTATTTATTTTTGGCTACATTGGGTCTTTGTTGCTGCACGTGGGCTTTCTCCAGTTGCGACGAGCCGGGGCTGCTCTTCGTTGCGGTGCGCGGGCTTCTCATTGAAGTGGCTTCTCTTGCTGCGGAGCATGGGCTCTAGGCACACGGGTTTTAGTAGCTGTGGCTCGTGGGCTCTAGAGCGCAGCCTCAGTAGTTGTGGCGCACGGGCTTAGTTGCTCTGCGGCATGTGGGATCTTCCTGGACCAGGGCTCGAACCCGTGTCCTCTGCATTGGCAGGTGGATGTTTAACCACTGAGCCACCAGGGAAGTCCACCAGCGCTCATTTTTTGAAAAATACTTTTTATGATTAGAAAATGTACATAGATAAAATAGACAACTGATGGGAACATACTGTATAGCACAGGGAGCTCTACCTACGGCACTGCGGTAACCTAAATGGGAGGGAAGTCCAAAAGGGAGGGTATATCTGTATGTATATGGCTAACTCATTTTGTTGTACAGTGGAGGCTAACACAACATTGTAAAGCAACCATACTCCAATAAAAATTAATAAAAAAATAAAAGAAAAATAAATGTTAAAACAAAACAAAAATGTGCATAGATATAACAGTCAAATCATTCCTCAAGGCTTATAATGCACAACACCAGCCCCTGTCTCACCTAGCCCATCTCAGTTCTCATCTCCTGCAGGAAACCACTTTTAATCCTTTAATCTTCTGGTATTTGCCTCCATAGTTTTGCATAATGCTATACACTGTACTGCTATTTATTTATTTGTCACATTTAGATATTGCCTATGAACATTCTACAATGGAAGACAATGATTTAATTTCCTTAAATACCTCCTCTCACCCCAAACACATACTTCTACTTTCTCTGTTTTTATAATCTAAATTATAATTTTTGGTCAGATTAATATTCAGTCTATACATTGCTAGGTTTACATAAACATTATTCATAGTTAAGCCAGGTAGACACCTGGGTATGTGGGGAACAGAATGTTTCCAGGGTTTCACTCTCCTTGCAAAGACTTTCAATCAGTGTGTTTTCACCCCACCAACACTCACTTGCAAAGTTCCTCCTGCCTCCAAAGCCTGAGCCTTCTGAGATCCTGAAGTGCAAATGAACCTTCGTAGTGACTTTATTTGCTGAAGAGTTTCCCTGTTTGCTGGTCTGGCTAATCAGTTACCACAAATCAGTCCATTGCTTTCTATACATATGTTCTTTTTTTTCTCTCTCCCTCTTATCTCTTTTCCCTTGCTTTCTTTACCCTTATCAGTTTAAGAAGTTTTTGTTTATCACTGAAATTTTAATGTGTTTCTGGAATAAACCATATATGTTTCAATCTGCTATGTTTAACTAAAGCTTCAAATACCCTTTTAAAAGTCTAGCTAATAATTCTCTATGTGATTATTAACCTCATTTTATAGATGAATAAAACAAGGATGGGAGAAGTTAAATAATTTGCTCAAGGTTGTACAAATAGTAAATGGTAATTTCACTTACTAATAAAAATCTTGTTCTTTTCTTTCCAGCACATTGCCTTTTACTGTGAGACACAGTTCCTGTTGTAAGGACTTTACAGTTTTTGCGGGGAGATAAGACAAGTGCATGGCCATTAGAATACAATGCATGAAGTGTCAAGAACAAGAAAAATGGCATGGTGTGCGGTGGAAATTCAGAGGTGAGAGAAATGTTTTCCTGCCCATTTCTTTGTGTCTGAAACCCCATTTGGAATTGGAATATATGTTTTGTAGTACTGTATGGACATTTCCTCATACAGAAATCTTAATTCGATGGGATTTAACCTCTATTCTTTGGTCATTTGGGATTCCATGGAGTCTTCGGAGCGAAGTAGACAGTTAATTTGTATCTTCACGTAATAACTATTCTTAAGATGATATTTTAGGAAGAAGAGGCAGATTTTTGACTCACTAAGTATCTGTGAGTGTACTTGATATTAAAGGCATTCAAGAGAGAATTTTTGCATCTATTTATTTTTGCCATTGATGTTGCACAATCCTTTTTTTTTTTAAGCTTTCTTTGTTTTCTTCTTTGAGTTTTACAGATTTAGGTTTTATGTCTATGATCCATTCTTAAAATGTATTTTTTATTGTGGTAAAAGGTATATAATACAATCTTTCACCTTGTTAAATCTGAAGTGTGTGGACAGCCCTAAATGAAGAAGATGGGTTATAAATTTATCCACATCTGTCCAGACCTGAATTGATTTTTTTTTGCCAGTTTGAACTATGATCACTTTATGCCACTTGTGCTCTGTGGCTCCAAAGCACTGTCTACAGAGTGTCCCAGGAGGCAAGATCCCATAGAGAGTTGGTGCATAGTTTCTGGAGCCAACTGGGCTGTGTTTTCTTCCAGGCTCTGCAGTAGCTGCTGTTTGACCTTGAGAAATTTCACTCACCTGCTCTCTCTCTCTCTGTATCAGATTTCTCATCTGTAAAATGGGGATAATGACAGAATTTAGCTCATAGTATTGTTAGGAGAATTATTTGACCTTATTGGATACAACAAATGTGATGCACTTACAAAAGTATCTGGTACATGGAAAAGACTGTATCATCAGCCATTCTCCTTCTAGGATCCTTGTGAGGAAGCAGTCTCTGAGAGCAACGTATGCTTCAGGGCTGTTTTGTTTGCTCTAATGAAAGCTTCTTCAATCACATGTTTATTATTTTATTTTTCAACCTTTTTTTTTAACATCTTTATTGGAGTATAATTGCTTTACAATGGTGTGTTAGTTTCTGCTTTATAACAAAGTGAATCAGTTATACATATATATATATATCCCCAAATCTCCTCCCTCTTGCATCTCCCTTCCACCCTCCCTATCCCACCCCTCAGGTGGTCACAAAGCATGGAGCTGATCTCCCTGTGCTATGCGGCTGCTTCCCACTAGCTATTTTACGTTTGGTAGTGTATATATGTCCATGCCACTCTCTCACTTTGTCACAGCTTACCCTTCCCCCTCCCCATAACCTCAAGTCCATTCTCTAGTAGGTCTGTGTTTTTATTCCCGTCTTACCCCTAGGTTCTTCATGACCTTTTTATTTTTTTTTCTTAGATTCCATATATATGTGTTAGCATATGGTATTTGTTTTTCTCTTTCTGACTTACTTCACTCTGTATGACAGACTCTAGGTCCATCCACATCACTACAAATAACTCAATTTTGTTTCTTTTTATGGCTGAGTAATATTCCATTGTATATATGTGCCACATCTTCTTTATCCATTCATCTGATGATGGACACATAGGTTGCTTCCACCTCCTGGCTATTGTAAATAGAGCTGCAATGAATATTTTGGTACATGACTCTTTTTGAATTATGGTTTTCTTAGGGTATATGCCCAGTAGTGGGATTGCTGGGTCATATGGTAGTTCTATTTGTAGTTTTTTAAGGAACCTCCATACTGTTCCCCATAGTGGCTGTATCGATTTACATTCCCACCAGCAATGCAAGAGTGTTCCCTTTTCTCCACACCCTCTCCAGCATTTATTGTTTGTAGATTTCTTGATGATGGCCATTCTGACCAGTGTGAGATGACATCTCATTGTAGTTTTGATTTGCATTTCTCTAATGATTAATGATGTTGAGCATTCTTTCATGTGTCTGTTGGCAATCTGTATATCTTCTTTGGAGAAATGTCTATTTAGGTCTTCTACCCATTTTTGGATTGGGTTGTTTGTTTTTTTAATGTTGAGCTGCTTGTAAATTTTGGAGATTAATCCTTTGTCAGTTGCTTCATTTGCAAATATTTTCTCCCATTCTGAGGATTGTCTTTTCGTCTTGTTTATGATTTCCTTTGCTGTGCAAAAGTTTTTAAGTTTCATTAGGTCCCATCTGTTTATTTTTGTTTTTGTTTCCATTTCTCTAGGAGGTGGGTCAAAAAGGACCTTGCTGTGATTTATATCATAGAGTGCTCTGCCTATGTTTTCCTCTGAGAGTTTGATGGTGTCTGGCCTTACATTTAGGTCTTTAACCCATTTGAGTTTATTTTTGTGTATGGTGTTAGGGAGTGATCTAATCTCATACTTTTACATGTAGCTGTCCAGTTTTCCCAGCACCACTTATTGAAGAGGCTGTCTTTTCTCCACTATATATTCTTGCCTCCTTTATCAAAGATAAGGTGAGCATATGTGTGTGGGTTTATCTCTGGGTTTTCTATCCTGTTCCACTGATCTATATTTCTGTTTCTGTGCCAGTGCCATGCTGTCTTGATTACTGTAGCTTTGTAGTATAGTCTGAAGTCAGGGAGCCTGATTCCTCCAGCTCCGTTTTTCTTTCTCAAGATTGCTTTGGCTATTCGGGGTCTTTTGTGTTTCCATACAAATTGTGAAATTTTTTGTTCTAGTTCTGTGAAAAATGCCAGTGGTAGTTTGATAGGGATTGCATTGAATCTGTAGATTGCTTTGGGTAGTAGAGTCATTTTCACAATGTTGATTCTTCCAATTCAAGAACATGGTATATCTCTCCATCTTTTTGTATCATCTTTAATTTCTTTCATCAGTGTCTTATAATTTTCTGCATATAGGTCTTTTGTCTCCTTAGGTAGGTTTATTCCTAGATATTATATTCTTTTTGTTGCAATGGTAGATGGGAGTGTTTTCTTAATTTCACTTTCAGATTTTTCATCATTAGCGTATAGGAATGCAAGAGATTTCTGTGCATTAATTTTGTATCCTGCAACTTTACCAGATTCATTGATTAGCTCTAGTAATTTTCTGGTAGCATCTTTAGAACTCTCTATGTATAGTATCATGTCATCTGCAAACAGTGACAGCTTTACTTCTTCTTTTCCAATTTGGATTCCTTTTGTTTCTTTTCTTCTCTGATTGCTGTGGCTAAAACTTCCAAAACTATGTTGAATAATAGTGGTGAGAGTGGACAGCCTTGTCTTGTTCCTGATCTTAGTGGAAGTGGTTTCAGTTTTTCACCATTGAGGATGATGTTGGCTGTGGGTTTGTCGTATATGGCCTTTATTATGTTGAGGAAAGTTCCCTCTGTGCCTACTTTCTGGAGGGTTTTTATCATAAATGGGTGTTGAATTTTGTCGAAAGCTTTCTCTGCGTCTGTTGAGGTGATCATAGGGTTTTTCTCTATTGTTCAACCATTTGTTGAGTGCCTAATATGTGCTAGACACACTGCTTTGTGCTCAGGATGTAAGGGAGACCAAAATCAGACATGCCACTGCTTTCATGGAATCCTCAGCATAATGGGAGAGATGGTCACAAATCAACTAATTATACAAATTACAACTTGATAAGTGCTAGGAAAGACAGGCTACATGGCTCTTTGTTACATTTGTATATGCAGAGTTTAACCCTGAGAGAGCAAAACTGTGTGTTTCCTTTTTTAAAATTTATTTTTATTGAAGTATAGTTGCTTTACAATGTTGTGTTAATTTCTGCTGTACAGCAAAATGATTCAATTATAATTCAATTATACATATACATTTTTCATCTTCTTTTCCATTACGGTTTATCACAGGATGTTGAATATATTTCCCTGTGCTGTACAGTAGGACCTTGTTGTTTATCCATTCTCTGTCTAATACTTTACATCTGCTAATCTCAAACTCCCAATTCACCCCTCCCCCTCCCCTCACCCCTTTGGCAACCACAAGCCTGTTCTTCATGTGTGTGAGTCTGTGTGTGTTTCTTGAATAATCCAAGAAGAGCTCTGATGCAAAAAAGGGAAGGGCTGTTCTGTGCAGAAACTGAGAACATCCTGAGAAACTAATTAAAACCTTCCTTTTTGATTACACCCTGGAGGATGGGAATAGCTTCCTCTCTTGCCTTTCCTTGACACAACTTGCTCGGGAGGAATGCAAAGGATGGGTGGGATCTTTCCCAACATGAGAGTGAAAGGAAGCAACATACCAAAGAGATGACGGAGCAAGAGGCACTGCAGCCGCTGAGTTCACCTCCACCCTGTGGGACAGCCACTTTGCAATATTTCAAAGGCGAAGGCAACTTACAGGAAAGAAAGAAAATGCATTTAACAACTTCCTTGTCTGGAGGTCTAGATAGGGGTGGAGCACATTTTAAAGCTGCATTTATGGCAGAAATGTACACGGCTTTACAGATATCTGTGCCTGGGGTTCCCAGAGCCCAAGTGTGCATCTATACATGAAGCACACTCAGTTTTTCAGGGCATTTGTCAAGAAACTTGAATATTGAAATCGTTTGAGTAGCACACTGCTTCATTTCTTGTGTGCTCCTAATGCCAATTTCACCAGAAAGCAATAGCTGGGAATTACATCCAGAATTCCCTCTGCCATTCTTTATTACCAATGCTTGAAAGGCAGGTGTCCTTCTGAACTTAACTGTTAACCTCAGAAAAATACATTCTCTTTTAGTATATTGTAGCACATGAGGAAAAATTGGGTTTAAATATGAGCAAGGACACGGTATTATATACCAATGGCCAAGAAACAAAATGTTAGTATTTTGCCCCCGTTTGACGTGTGTGTGTGTGTGTGTGTGTGTGTGTCTGTCTGTCTCTCCATTATCTAACTTCATCTTGTTCACTTTCTCTTCCTTCAAGCTGTTACATTTCATGTGGTTGGTTGATGGCTCTGCATTCAGCATGTAAAACAATTAAGTGATTATTTCCTGAGCATCTACTTTGAGTTAGACAGGAATGTCTTTGAACTCATGAAG